TGAACTCACGACCTTGCGCTTGCCAGGCAGCCGCTTTGCCACTGAGCTAAATCCCCAGCCCCTGTGATATCCTAATAAAGAAGGAGCTAATCATGAGGATTTTTATAGTTTGTTGCTCTTAAATGGCCTGTTCTTTTTATCAACATTATTGCAGTTTTGTAGGTAAAGGAGGAATGAGGACAGGAAAGAACATGAGTAAAGTTTTAGGAAGATAAAAGTGAACGGATTTAGTAAACTTGCAAGAGTTAGGGGGTGGGTTGAAAAGTAAAATTGACATAGGGATCCAGGAAGAAGCACAGATTAAAAATGAGAATAATGATGAAGCTTAGTGTATTGAGAACTTGTGGGAAATTTTCTTTGATGCTATCTAGTGGAAGATGTGAAAGAAGAGTCTGGTGCCTTGAAAGACTTTGGCATTTAGATGACATTTTACACCATGATTGTTGATGATACACAAAGAACATTGTATTCAGTGAGTAAAGATACTGGACTTAAAAGATGTAACCCTAGTGGCCACTAGTGTGTGGGAAGCTAGCAACAGTCCCTGAAGTTGGCTGAACAGATGCCTGCCAGGAGTTGCATCAGCATTCCAAGGGTGAAGATGATGTGAGCAGTCAGCAATGTCACACTCCACAGGAAGTGGGAGAAAGTGAAATGTGACTTTGTAGTGCAGTGTAGGAGACTTTGAGAAGAATGGATTGTGGTGGAGAGCCCTCTAGTGGGAGGGGACAGGTTATGTGAAGAACTGGAAAAAGTCTGATAAAACCAACATTCAGAAAAGAAAGTAGAGTTCAATGTGATTACTTTCTTACCGGAGAGAAATGAATCCAAAAAAAAAAAAATTAATCAAGGATCACTTTTAGTCTCTTGCGGTATGTCAGTTATATGTAAATTGTTCTGCTTGTTAAAGGTAGAAAAGAGATTTTGAGGAGCTAAAACTTGTGGACGATTTCTTCAGCAGTGGGAAGTAGGGGGGAAGTCAGAGTAATTTGCTTCTAAAGGGAAGTAGCAAAAACAAAGCAAAATTGACAGTAAAGACTAGCTGGAGGAACTCTGAATGCCAAGCTTAGCTGAAGTTTCAAACCAGTCCTGGAAGGATAAGTTAATAGAAACTCAGCATAAAGTTCCTAGGAGAAATTATTTTAAAACATTTTCTTTTGTATTTTTATTTTTTATAGTACCTCTTCTGGAAAAACTATCTGCTTTGTTTGTTTTTTATGTTATGTGAAAACTAAAACTTATAAGGAAGAAGTTCTTCATTTCTTCATGCAAAAGATGATACAAGAAATAATACATATCACCTTCCTCTGTGCCTTATTAAATTCATAATAGCACATAGAGAAAATTGTGAAACAACATATGTATAAATAGTTCATGTTGATTACCTCGGAGTGTAGAAATAGAGTAGAAAGGCAGAAATTAACTTTCTTTGCACTTCTTTCATTTAGTTGGAATTTTTATAAAATAGCCAGTAAAATATGTAGTATTCAGAATGGAAAGCTAAAAATTAAATAACACATACTTATAGAAAGATTAAGAACAATACAGAGATAGAAATGTAGGAAAAGTTTTCACTATATGTTGTATATCTATGTTTATATAAAAGATTTTGTTACATAAAACAGAATGCAGAGTATATAAATACATATATATATTTGTATTTATACTTCTGTATTTATATTGTGGATATCTTTCCATAATGATAAATCTTCATTTCAATTTTTAAAACTGCATAGAGGGGCTGGGGATTTAGCTCAGCGGCAAAAGCGCCTGCCTGGCAAGCGCAAGGTTGTGAGTTCGGTTCCCGGTACCGGAGAAAAACCAAAATAAATAAATAAATAAATAAAACTGCATAGAGCTTTAAAACTTTTTGGGGGGAAACTTTTAAAAATTTTAGATGTGCGTACAGAATAAGATAGCTTAGTGACTTTTAACATGTGAAGACACCTACATACCTACGCTGCAGACCAAGTTAAAGAGCATTGCTCTCCCCGCGTTATCCTTCCTTACCTCGTTTCCCAGTCTTCAGCCTTTTCCCTCTGCATCAACAGTTGGTTCTGATTTCTAGCCCTATAGATTAATTATTTACTTTTTTAATTTTTTAAAAGATGAGTCATATGTTTGTGTATGGCTCTTTTGTGTGTAGCTGGCAACATTAGTTTTGGAGTTTATTCAGGTTATTGCATATAGCAGTAGTTTATCCTTTTTTTTGTGGTATAGTAGTCTAAAGTAAAATTTATGGATATCACCATTTAAGCTGATGGGCACTTAGTTTTTTTAATTGGAGACTAGTGTACAAAGTAGTCATTTGTTAACCTTCTTATACATGCTTTTTGCTACTGTATATGTACATATTTCTGTGGGTGTATATACCTAGTAAACACACTCATAGGTCCGTGTGTATGTAAGTTCAGCTTTAGTTAATATTGTACAACTGTTTTCCAAAGCCATTTTACTCTTATATGAGAGTTCTCTATATTCTATATACTTAGTATTGATGGCTTTTTGGTTTTGTTTTTGTTTTGTTGTTTGATAGCTTTTAAAACATTAGTTTAAAAATTTGTTAGTATTTGGTTATGTAAATATACTATAATTTTCTTTTCATGGACTTTTGCCACCTTCTCCTTCCTTGGCGTAGCGTAACCTGAAGAGCTGTCACAGCTATTGGGCCCTGTAGTTTGTTCTGCGTGATCTCACTGTGTAAGGAATATTAAATATTGAAACAAACTAACAGAACTGATATATTTTTTCTTCTTAACAGATCTTCTTTAAATTCCCTATTTTTTAGTTGTGTGATACCAACATGAAGAACGCATGTAAAATAGTTTTCTTTTGTTGGCATGAAAATCAATTTTGATTTCATTGTACTAAATGAGCGCCTTTTTTAATTATTATTTAGAAGCTGTGTAAAAAAACATATCATGATGTCTGAAGCTATACTTTTGGTGAAAGTATTGTAAAATACGTGGCTGATTTAATTGCTTGGAATAATTAGCATTCTCTTAGAACAAGCATATAGTTCTAGCTGCCAGCACCTCTGTCACATGGACCTTCAATCCACTGGAAAACTGATCTGTGAATTACTTGAGAATATAATCACTCAGGGTTTGGAAAACTATTTGAAATTTGCCCTTTGAAAGTGAAAGATGTTTCCAGTCAGGGAACCTTACTTTACAGTCTTTCTTTTGACACTGTCGTCCCCCATTTCCTCAAATCTTCTTAACAAAGAGTTCTAAGTGTGTGAAACTCTAGTGCTTGTTTTAATGAATTAAATGTGATTGCCAAACCTCCTGCTTTTTCTCCTGTTAGGAGGTGTGATTACTTCATGATAGCCACTCTTCCTATTCTGCATTATAGCTTTAAACAGGTGTTGTCCCAGGTGGTATTCAGTAATATCCAGCTACCATAAGTAATTGCTTTGGAGGGCTTACGATATTGGTAACCCTCTGCCATAGCTGAGTGGTCTTTTGGAAAGTACCTTGTGGTCTTTCCCCATACTCTCTGCTTTTGCTAGTTTTAACTTAATTATGTACTTTTTGGAATAGCTATAATAACCAGAAAAAAAATGTAATTCTTACAGTAGTTAAGTTTTAGGCATGCTTTTTTTTCCACTTTCAGATGTAGAGATTCTTTACATTTTTAATTGTTATCAAGAGCTTCTTAGTGATAGCAGAAAACTACTTTATATTCTGTTCCTTTGCACGGAAGTATATGTGTTATGTCTCAGTTACTTTTCTCTCGTTGCTGAGACAAAATACCTGACACCCAGATTTAAGGAAAGAAAGGTTTATTTAGCTCACAGTTTGTAGAGGTTTCAGTCCATACTTGGCTGGCTCCAAGGCAGGGTGGCACATGGCAGAGGGCAACAGTTCATAGTGGCAGAAAACAGCAAAAGGAACAAGAGTGAAAAGCGAGGAGCAGCAGTGAGCAGGCTCTTTCCCTGCCTTATATTGCGTGCAAAGTATCTGCCCCAGGACGAGTGTAGCACTCACACCCATAGTCCCAGCATTGGACTATGGATCAATCAAAAACCGTTAGAAGCCCACACCACAACTGCTTGAGGCTTTGGGGGGACATCCAGACACAAACCATAACATGTTAGAAGAATATTTTTAGCTGCTAAGATTTCTTCAGAGTTCATAGTGCAGCATTAAGTCTAGAAGTCTGCCAATTCTTTTTTGTACTAATGGTAATGATTGTAAATGATACCTAAATGAATTAACAAATAAATACCTAAATGAATTAACAAATAAGCCAAAAACCTTATTGAAGACAATATTTTCAATGACCTCGCCTTTTCTAGCTCCTGATTTTTAAAAATTAATTTATTTTTATTTAGTTTATTTATTTATGAGACAGAACCTCGCTGTGTAGTCCAGGCTGCTTGAACTCCCGTTGGCCTCAAACTCACAGCAATCTTCCTGCCTTAGCCTCCTAAATGCTGAGATTACAGGTATGCACCACCATGCTAGGCTTACTAACCCCCTTTTTTTTCCTTGTCAATATCAATAATGAATTACAAAACTTACTGACTTCATTTTTTTTCACTCAGTATCTGTTAAAAGATGGCACCTACAGTGCATGAAGGATAAGCTTTTGACAAATTGGGGCTGGGGATTTAGCTCAGCGGCAAAGCGCTTGCCTGGCAAGCGCAAGGTCGTGAGTTCAGTTCCTGGTACCGGAGAAAAACCAAAAAAAAAAAAAAAATAATAATTACTTAGGAATCTCACAGTTTATCTCATATTTATGAACCTGGTTTGGAGATTAATTTAGAGGCCATGGTAAAGTCTTAGTTAATGAAATGCTTTGCCCACCAATAGATAATCTCTGAGTATGGCCTCACCAATGCAGTCAGCCTACTATGAAGATATTGGCACAAGTTGCACCATCCTTATAGAGTGACACAAAAAATAAACCATCCTTTAAGCAAGAACCATCAGAACCCTCACTAACTTCACTGTTACTTCAGTGACCCTTACAAGCTTTTTTTTTCTATGTAGGTATCAGTCAGAGCCGGATCTCTCATTGGCTGTTGCAGCAAGGATCAGACCTCAGTGAACAGAAGAAAAGAGCATTTTACCGATGGTATCAACTTGAGAAGACAAACCCTGGTATATATAATTTTCTTTTTTATTCATTGCATCTGAAGCAAGACAAATGCAATTGTTTCATTGAAGTTTAATAATATATATTAGCAAATATATTACTACTTCATTACTTGATCAGTATTTTAAAATTGAGATTTCTTTGTCTTTTAATCCTTCTTTCCTTGTCTTGATTGCTTGAAATCCAGTATATATTAGCACATATTTTCAAACAGTTGCATTTCTTTTTTTTTATAAATGTCTATTGAAAAGAAACTGTACTTCCACTTCATGGTAACAAATGAAAACAGAACACATCAATTACAAGATTATTAAAATATAAAATAATGAGCTGGGGGTATAGCTCAATGGCATAAGCTCCTGCCTGGCAAGCGCAAGGTCGTGAGTTCGATCCCCGGTACCGCAAAAAAAAAATAAATAAAATAAAATATAAAATAGTAATAAATGTCACCTCAAAATTTATAAGACCTATATATAGAAAAATTATAGAGAAATTAAAAATTTCAAGGAACATTTTAAGGTGAAACTCTTAAAGATAACAATTTTCTATGAAAGTCCAAAAGACTTAAAATCATTAAAACAATTTTGAAAAGGAAGAAAAACCTTTGGAGGCAAACAGCCATGTTCCAAGGGCTCATCAGTCTCATGTGGCTGACGACTACCATGTGAGACAAGCAGTTTCAAGATGCAGTTGAAGCAACACTTTGAACTCAGTGCTAAGTGCTCCTCCCAACAGACATCACTTCTCCCATGATTCACAGCAGAACAAGCCAGACGGAGAGGGACACAAAGTTGGCACCTAGTCTGTTTAACAGGCTAGGCTGATAGTAAGGGTTCAGCTGGGTAGCCAAGGAACTGTGCCTAGAGGTTGTATAAATCTGGTCATATTCCAGACAAGCCTTTGAACTCAGTGAGCGATTGGTGATCTCAAGGGGAACTGATCAGGGTGTCCCACCATATGCAGGGCAGAGGAATGATGAATTTGAAGGCTAGGCACAAGTGAACTGTTTCAGGCAGTCAGCCTCTGCAAGAGAAGAGACTTTTGTCTCTTGACTTGGCACTTAGAGCAGAACTGACATATAACCTAGTTATGGTTGTTGAGGCTGAGTCCCACACTGGAGTTCCAGGACGGACTCCAGACACTGGCAGGGACTAGAAAACTGGAAAGAGGACTGAGTGCCACTCAGACGGTAACAGTATTCCAGCTGACTATAACACTGTGGAATGAAGAATTTCTATTCTGAGAGTCCAGTTTTTAACACTAGGCTGGTAGTAGTTTTCTGGAGCTGCATTTTTAAGAGTTGTTTTGCCTTTTATGTTATTTTGTACTTAAGTTTCTCAGAACTAGAACTAGGTTTTTGGAAAATTGGAGCAAGTGGAACCTAGGGTGCTGAAATGGGAAAGGATCACAAGCATTCATCCCCTTGATGGTAAAGATCTGCTTTCTCTATGAGATAGTACCTTCTTTTAATAATAAGTTCCCTGAGCTGGGCATGGTGGCACATTCCTATAATCCCAATATGTGGGAGGCTGAGGCAGGAGGATTGTAAATTTGAGCCCAGCCTGAGCAACTTTGTCAGAGTGTATCTCAAAATAAAATGAAAAGTGGACTGCGGATGTAGTTCAGTGAAAAGGCTCTGGTTTTAATGTCCAGTACCAAAGAAAAAAAAAAAAAAAAGTAATTTCCCTTCACTGGTTGTGGTGCTTATACCTGTAATCCCAGCACTCAAGAAGCTGAGGCAAGAGGATCACCAGGCCTGGCTGGCCAGGACAACAGCGTTCACCGCCACCACCAACAAAAGAACAGATTCCCCTACTTGTGTGCATTTCTGTCAAGACAGTTGCTTTGCTGTCACTTTCCATTTTTTGTTTCCTACTTACTCTCTTTAGTCAAGTTTTCTATAGGACACAATTTAAAAGTAGCTATAAAGGGTGAGTTCATAATTACCAGCAAGTAGGTTTTGTTATGTTAACAATAATTGAATATTAGCAATTGAAAGTTTTTAAAAAATTTTTCTGTGCATTTCCATAAGAGCTGATGTGGCATAGAACTCTTTCTGGTTAAATGCAGTTTTATTTTGTTGACTTTAAAATAACCTTTGATTTTGGCTTAACAGTAGTACTGTTTCTTCTTCTTGTGTACTTCAGAGGTCCTGTTATTATTTAGAAAAGATGACTGAAAATATAGTGACACCTAAATACAGCTTATGCACTTTCTATCTGCTCAGCAGTCACTTACAGCATATCACATTCTTCTTTGCAAGTCATTACAGAGCTGATTAACATCCATCCAACAGGTTAAATATGGGATGACTATACAGTGGAATACTACAGAGCTGTATAGCTATTTTTAAAGACACTATATGAATTAAATTTATATGTAGTAATGTGGAATTCAGAGGTTTAAAAAATAAAATACAAAACAGAGTATAAGATATATTACTATTTACTTACAAGAATATACCCGCATGCACATGCCTTATATCATATGTAAGTGTGGAAGCTCCCTGGCAGGCTACCTTAGGAAGTGTCAAGGATAGCTCAGTGGAAAGGAGCTGAGTGACTGGTCCTACAGGGTTGGTGGGGAGACCATTAACTATACAGACTTCTGTACCCTTCTGAGTTTCTCCCATGTACTTATACAGTTAAAAAATACAGACGACAGTGGGCAAGGCAGCACTCCTATAACCCCAGCACTCAGAAGGCTGAGGCAGGAGGATCACAGTGAGTTTGAAGCTAGCCTGAACTACATACAAGGATCTTGTCTCAAAACTAAAACAAAAAATAAAATAAAAATAAAATAATAGTAGAAAATAATAGTAGAAAAATATACATGAATTGTAATGGAAAAGAAGAAAGAAGGACCAAAAAGAAAACTAATCTTCTTTGTCAATTTCAGGATTTAAAAAAAGAAGAACCTAGGTTCATATGGTCCAGACCTGCGTGTTTGTTTTTTTTTTTTTTTCAGACCTACTGCTTTTGACAAGTAGTTCTAAAGAAAATAAAATGTTAGTGATTTTTATTAATAGGTAATTCTTGGTAAATTTCTCTGTCTTCAGGACAGGGGGAATGTAGATAGTAGTATATGTTTGCATATATTCAGAGGGAAAAAAAGCAAAATTAGAAAAATCACAAAACAGAACAAATTTTTCTCCTTTGTAAATTTAAGTGTTTAGAAAACCAACAAAACAAAACAAAAAAAGTGTTTATATATTCTCTTTCTGTTCTATAGCATTTTTCTTTGTATACCCAGAGTAAAGTTCTCATTTTCAACCCCTTCATTCTAGGTCACATTTAGGTTTTCTCTTTCTCCTTCACTTTGTTTTTGTTTCCTAAGACTGGGTGTCACCATATAGTTCAGGCAGTCCTTGAACTCACTATGTGGCCCAGGCTGGCTTTGCAGCAATCCTCCTGCCTCAGCTTCCCAAGTGCTGGGATTACAGGCACGTGCCACAATGGTTGGCTGTACATCACTTCCTTTTTTTCTAAGGTTCTTTTTTGTTTTGTTTTATTTTTTGTTTTTTGAGACAAAGTCTTGCTATGTAGTTCAGGCAAGCCGTGAGCTCACATTGTAGCCTAGGCTGGTCTTGAACTTGCAACGATCCTCCTTCCTCAGCCTCCAGAGTGCTGGGATTACAGGCATGCGCCACCATGTCTGGCTTTAAGATTCTTTTTATGTGGACTCAAGGAGAAAAAAAGAATTTAGGTTATTTTTGCTGATAATACAATGACTATAGATACAATGTAGTTCTCTGATAAACAGACTCATCATCAGAATTTTCCAGCCTCACCGAAAGCCTGCCAAGGCTTACGAATAAAATAGACTGGTAGAAACCAATCAGATGCATTTTGTCTTGTTTCTTATGAAAATATTTGCAAGAAAAGCCTACTCTTCAAAAAGAAATATGTGCTAAATTCAACACAGTTGACATAAAACACCCTTTATTTAATGAAATTAAGCTCAGAAGTCTTTTCTCCTGTCTAATTTAAACAATACTACAGCAGGCAAGGTTTGCTGAGTAACTCTTGACTCATGGCACTGATTCTGAATACTTCTAAATCAAACAAGTTTGCCAGGAGGCTGATGCAGCAAGCACATGAGGTAAACGTGGAGCCCAGAGAGATGCCCATTCCGTCACACACATGCTGGGGAAACGTGTGGCATGGGAAAGATGAAGATGACTTTGGGAGAAGAATGGGGTTTAGACTTGCTAGGTGAAAGTGCAAAGTTTGGTTTTCATGGGAACTCAGATGTACTGTGGGACAGTAAGGAAACAAGTAATATGCTTTTCCTGTATGGACCTCAGCCAGCCCAGAACTTCTGTGTTTATCTGCAGAGTTGTCTTAGGTTTTTCTGCATCATTTCTATACTCAAATATCTGTATATTCCTGTCAGAGTCAATAATTTTGGGCACATTCTTGGGTTGTTCATTATTCTCTCTCTATTTTGACCAAAGCAAGATGAACTAGGGTTTTTAGAGGAAATCTGTGTTTTTTGGAGTGTTTCCAGAGTGCTTTTTGTGCTATCTTAAACAACTACTTGGTTTTCAGCAAGAAAAAAAATTCTCCAAAGCAGCATGACATAAATTTTTTCATGTGATATAAATTAAGTATGTTTATAATTTTAGGATTATTTAGTTTTTTCCTTCTTTTTGTATAAGCTGTCTTGGTCTTTTTTCAAAATAACCAAATCACTACTTCTCTCCCTATCTTTCCTTCTTTTTTTTTTCCTTCTTGACCAATTTTGCCTAAATTTTCTTCTTACAGAAAATCTTTACAGTATAAGATACTGTTATTTAAAAGCTTAATAATATATCAAGAACCATTATTATTAGCTAGCTTATTTATTTCATCTTAATTAAGATTCTTAATTATGATTAGCCTTAAGGTTAATTAAGGTAATCTTAAGATTCTGTCCTGTTTGTGTGTGTTCATCATCCTGCTTACCTAACAGAGCACTCCGCAGTTACAGTTGCAGCAGTCAGTTGGGATTCACTGACCTGTTGCATCCCCTACAGCCTGAAACTCCGTCCCTTCCCGAAGGCAGACCTTGGGTGAGAGGACCCCTTCCTCATGCACTCTGTCTTTGACACCATCTTGGCCAGCCGTATCAGCCCCCTAATTCCTGTCTATGTCTAAATTTTGTTAAATGAATTAAGCCCAGACATACACCCAGGCTATTTTGGCATAGTGGTATCCTTTTTCTTGAACTGCTTAAAGAACAGTTTCAACCTGCCTGGCAAGCGCAAGGTCGTGAGTTCGGTTCCCGGTACCGGAGAAAAACCAAAAAAAAAAAAAAGAACAGTTTCAGTTTAAGAGTTTCAGAGTGGATAGCCAGGAGCATTTTCTTTTTCTCTGAGAGAGGCAGCTAGAGTGCTTTTTGTGTAAGAGAAACCCTGTGATATTTAAGCTTGTGCACCTGACTTACTTCACTTACTGTGTTCCCAAGTTGCATCCGTTTACCTATGAATGTCTCATTTGTCCTTCTTTAGAGCAGAGTAGTACTCCATTGTGCACTAATACCACATTTTCATTCATCTGTTTATGGACATAGACACCATTTCCAAGATCTAGCTATTATAAATTGTGCTGCTATAAACATGGGTATGTATATATCTCTAGAATGTGATGACTTTAACTCTTTTGGGAAGATACCTGGGAAGATAGCAGGGCCAAGTGGAATTTCTATTTTTAGTTCTTTGAGGAATCTTCACATTGATCTCTATAGTGGTTCTGCTAGTTTACATTCCCACCAACAATGTAGACAAGATCAGGCGTGTTCAGGGTGGAATTGCTGTAGACCCACCAATGATGTAGAAAAAGTTCTTTTTTTCCCCACGTCTTTTCCAGCAAATGTTATTTCATGATTTTTTGACCATAGCCATTCTTTCTGGGGTAAGGTGGTATCTTAATGTAGTTTTGATTTACATTTCTGTAATGGCCAGAGACATTGAACATTTTTTCATGTACTTATTGGCCAGGCCAGAAATGTATGAAAGCAAGGGTCAGCAAGCTCTTCCTCTAAACGTCTAACAGCAGATATTTTAATTCTGGAGGTACATTATCTCGTATAGCAGCTGCTCAGCCATAGTGCAAAAGCAGCCATAGATAATATGTAAATGAGTGAGCATAACTCTGTTCCATTAAAACTTTATTTACAAAAATAGACAGTGGGTCCTAGTTTGCCAACTCTTATTTTAAACTATGAATCACTGTGCAACACATTTGATCTTTTGAGAAAAAGTTAAAATATTTCACATCATATACTACATGGAATTACATATGTATAAAGGGCTGAAATACTAAGAGAAAACTATAAAAATATTCTAATGATATTCAAACCCACTAGCCATATAAGAAGGATTGGCATCTTTGACTGCATGAAAAGATCACAAAGTATACCCTAAATAAAGATAAAAGGCAAATGACAAATTGGAAAATATAATTATGATCTGTGTGACTAGCAATTTGATATAGTTTCTACACAGCAGTAAGATAACACAAAAGAAAAAGGGACAAAAGGTACAGAAAATACAGAATGGTCAGTAAACAGGGGAAAATGCTCATTCTTACATAATCTCTTTATCTTAAAAGGAAAGGTTCTGGTGCTAAATTTGTAACTTGAATGAACAGTACTCATCACATTTAATGTTTTGGAGGTTGTGGGGAAATAAACAACTGGAGGTGATTTTATTAATTTTCTATTATTATACAGCATATTACCCCATAATTTAGCACCTTAACACAGCAGATGTTTAATTCTCAGGAATCCAGGAGTGATGGGACTTAGTGGTTCAGGCCAAGACTTCATGAGGTTGCATTCAAGCTGTCATCAGGGCTGCAGTTGTTGTGACTAGATACTCCATGTGCAAGATGTTTTACCTGGAATCTGGCAGGTCCCAGTTCCTGACAGAGACAGCTGTTCCTCAGAGACTTCACCCTCCACTGTCTTAATAATTTTCCCTTGATAGGTGACCCGAGAGACAGAGAAACCAAGACAAATGCCACCGCGTCTTTCCTAATCTAATCCTTGAGTTGATGTACCATCACTACTGTATGCTGTTGGTCATACAGACTAATTACAGTACAGTGTGGGAAGTGACTATACACAGGGTGCATACCAGGAGGCAGGGGTCCCTAGGGTTCCTGGAGGCTGGCTGCCACATGACTGTGTTGGACTGTATGCCTCAGGCCTTGTTTCTCTGGCAGCTCGGTTTTCCACATGAGGTCTGTTGTAGCAGGAGTATCCAAGATGGCTTTTTCTCTCAATTGACTGGCACTTGTGTGGCAGAGCACCTGGGACCTGACCAGGTCTCTGGCATACCTGTGGCCTCTCCACATGGCTAGCTTGAGTTTCTTAGGGCATTATGGCCTCTGCTCGGTCAGACTTCTTTTAAGGCAGTGAGTCAGCACTCCAAGAAACATAGGAAGAACTGCAAAGATTCTTATAATCTAGCCTTGAACTTTTCCCGTGTTCTTCTCAAGACTTAAGGACCCAGATTGAAGGGCATGATTACCAGCAGGGATGACTAATTGTGCATGTCCAGTGTTTGAGCCTATGCTAGGAAGTTACGATTGTGAGGGATGATGCTGGCTTGTTCTCAGTTGGTAACGGTGAGGATAATAAAAATTGTTCCAGGGACCGGGGATATAGCTCAGTGGCACAAGTACCTGCCTGGCAAGCACAAGGTCCTGAGTTCGATTGCCGGTACCAAAAAAAAAAAATTGTTCTGCTAGCTAGTATTTTTTTTTTAATGGTACTGGGAATCTAACTCAGGACCTCAAGCTTGCCAAGCAGGTATCATGCTACTGAGCTGTACCCCCCAGACTTGATACTGAATATATTTTAAAAAATGAAATTCATAGAAATTGCCTATGGATTAAAAATGTACTGTGTGGGAGAAAGAGAAGTCAAGGATGAATCTGAGATTTTTGAGATGAGCAATTTTAAGAATGGGGATCTGTTTACTAAGATTGGAAAGAAAGACTCTAGACAACTGTTTGAAAAGAAAAATCAGGATTGGTTAAGATACTGGACATCTGTGTAAAAAACTACGTAATAAAGATGTAGCCATTTAAGAATGGGATTGAGCTAAGAATGGCAGTAGGCACCTTTAGTGCCAGTTACTTGGGAGACTGAGACAAAAGGATCACTTCAGCCCAGGAGCTTGAGGCTAGGCTGGGCAACATAGCAAGACTGTGTCTCAAAAAATACCAAAATAAAAAAGAGGATCTGTACTACTAAATTAATAGCTACTGAAATAGAAACACTATTCACGGTTTCACTGGTAGGTAGGATAGAATATAATTCCTGTTATGGAGAAATATGCTTAGTAATATAGGATTATTTTTAATATATGTATTAATATGTGTAATACAATTTCTAAGCTGTCTTTCTAGGGGTATATTAAGAGTTTGGATTAAACCATGGGCAAAGGGAACTTCCTGAGATTGTTTTGGGGTTTTTTGGTTTTTTTTGTTTGTTTGTTTTGTTTTTTTTTGATCTGTGAATTGAATCCAGAGCCTTCACATCGAGCCACATCTCTAGCCATTTATACTGAGTAGGGCCTCATTAAATTGCCCAGGTTGGGCTCGAACTTGAAGTCCTCCTACCTCAACCTGCCCGAGTGCTGGGATTATAGGTTTGTACCACTATGCCCAACATTTTTTGAAAGGTTTTGATGAGAAAAGTGATATGATCATAATTATGCTTAGAAGGATAAATTTATCAGAGGAGCCAGAGAATAAACTCAATGGAAGCATACCAAGCTCTGTTCAGATTCTATAAAATAAATCCATAGAAGTTGGAGATAATGTGGCTTTTCCTGTTTTGTTCTAGCTTTGAGACAAGAACAAAGCCACAAGAAAGAAATTTGATAATGGTGAATGAATAAATAAATGGCCATTATCAGTTCAGTGTGTTTGAGAAAAGGCTAGTCTGAATTAATAAAATATTTGAATTACACATTTTTATTGAAATTTTATTACATTCAAGGCAGGTTGGATATAGTGTAGTATCAATAAACCTATAAAGACCTGATTTAGTTGGTAGACTAAATGCGTATCAAATACCATCTTACTTTTTTTGATGTCGTATTTGACATTTTTTGAGACAGGGTCTCCCTGTGTAGCCTGTGTTGGCCACCTGCTTTAGCCTCCCGAGTGTTAGGATTATAAGCATGTGCTGCTGGGCCTGCCTTTTTTTTTTTTAAGAGTTTACAATAATTGGAGTTATTTAAATTCATCTCATTGAATATATTGTGTAAGAGCTTCTAAATCTTTTAAATGTTAATAAATGGTTCTGAATATCTAGAATATATTGATCAAAATGATTACAATTATTGAGTAAGAATTTCAAGAGAGGTTTTTAAGAGGAAGATACACTAAGTTGTCAGTAAGTGTATCTTACCTCCTCTTCCCATAAGGAGGAAGAGTCTGTGCTTTTTTTTTTTTTTTTTTTGGTTTTTCTCCGGTACCGGGAACCAAACTCACGACTTTGCGCTTGCCAGGCAGGCACTTTGCCACTGAGCTAAATCCCCAGCCCCTTTTTTTCTTTTTTTTGAAAGATGCCATAATGGAAGATAATAGATAAAGGATAAGTGGGGGAAAATGACATTATGAAATAACTAGTGATAGACTTTTCAAAGAAGATATTTTTACTTCTTTAGATCTTTATTTGGGTGAAAAAATTATAAATATTAAATATATTGGCCTGCAAGTTTCAATAGAAGAACAAAAATACATGATCTCAAGTTCATTGTTCTTGTTCTTGTGATATCTATGTCATATTGGTTTTAATAAAATATCAGATATTTGCTAAAAAGTGTCTTATTTCAGGGGCGACACTGAGTATGCGACCAGCCCCCATTCCAGTAGAGGACCCTGAGTGGAGACAAACACCGCCCCCTGTGTCTGCCACATCCGGGACCTTCCGACTACGGCGAGGGAGTCGATTTACCTGGAGAAAGGAGTGCCTGGCTGTTATGGAAAGGTAGGTAGCCTCTCTCTCTTTTTTTTTTTTTTTTGGTACCAGGAATTGAACTCATGACCTCAGGCTTGTCAGGCAAGCCCTTATGCCACTGAGTTGTATCCCCGGCCTGACCTCTCCTTTTCAAATGGGAAAGAGACAAACTTTCACTAGATTGGAACAGTTTTCATTTCCAGCGAGTAATTTGGGGTTTAAGTTTTATCTTGAAAGTATTTTTTGGAGTATTATAAGTGTTTTTTTTTTTTTTTTTTTTTTTTTGGAGACAGGGTCTTGCTATACAGTTCAGGCTGGCCTTGAGCTCACTTTGTAGTCCAGGCTGCCTTGAACTCACAGTGATCCTCCTGCCTCAGCCTCCCAATGTGCCACCATGCCCGGCTAAGTGCTGTATTATTGAAACGAGGTGATTTAACATTGAGAATTTACATAGCTGGAGTTCACATTAATGTATTTTACTTAGTGTCCTAAGAAACTGTGGAAGAAGTATTTTTGAGTTTAGATCTTTGTATTATACTTTAGGAAACCCTTTGAAGTCTTAATTTCATCAAAAATACTGAGGCTTGACTAAATACTTTTTACTTCGATTCAGTAATTTATTCCTTACTCTCACACTGTACTTATTCCCTACTAGGTATTCAGTATGTTTTTAATCTTAGTTTAATCTTTCCCATCTCAAATGGTAAGGATGATTGTGAGCTATCGACTATGTTTAGCATAGATTCTATAGTGCATTTATCCCTTTAGTCACGTACCTATGAGTGATACCTGTAGAGTTGTGTTTCAGTGGAGAGGTTTATGTGCAGTAGAACAATCATTTCTCTACTGTACATTTCCCACATCACACTAGCAGAGTATGACTCAGTCCCTGAGACCTGTTTAACTGTTTAGCTCGCAAACTCAACTAGCTTCCTGTTCTCTGAAATGAGGTTTTAAGTAGCCAGTATGTCATCTTAGACATTTCCCATCTTTTCTTGTTTAAGATTACTTGCCAGCTCGTTAACATTATTATCTAAAACACTGGGAGATTTACAGTGTTGCAATTCAGATCATGGTTTTGGTCTGTGCTGTAGGTGAAATTAATAGGATGTTGGATCCATTAGCTAAAACAAGACTGTATAGACTATCTATTGATACTGTTATCTACTCTTTTTTTGTTTTGTTTTGTTTTGTTTTGTTTTGTTTTGTTTTGTCTTTTTGAGACAGGGTCTTGCTATGCAGTTCAGGCTGGCCTTAAGCTCACTTTGTAGCCCAGGCTGGTCTCGAACTCCTAATGATCCTCCTGCCTCAGCCTCCTGAGTGCTGGGATTACAGGTGTGTGCCACCACGCCCGGCAATAAATTTGCTTTTTTGGGGGGGGGGTGGTACCAGGAATCAAACTCGGCACCTTGCACTTGCCAGGGCAGGCACTTATGCCACTTATCTATATCTCCAGCCCCTGTCATCTATTCTTTTCCTTGCTTTCTTTATTATAAATAAGTATAGAAGCTGTTTATTGAATAATGAATCTTTATATGCTTGAGTGGTTAAAATAAAAGAATGAGACTTCATAGCTCTGGAGACCTGACATTAGTAATCAACTCTATTTTTCTCATCTGGAAATTTTAGTTTTTTTTTGAAAATTTGGAACTTACCACATAGGAGATATGAATTAAAATAATATGTAACTTAAATTATTTGTAATATTGTATGTATTCCTCTAGGTAGCAAAATTAACTTTGATATTAGTTGCTAACTGGTATAAGCACTGAATGTGCTGACTTAACCAATGATTTTTTTTCATGAAGATACCAACATTCATTTATTATGCAATGTCAGTGTGAGAAAGAATTAAATTTTTTTGTCATTGTTTTTGATTTTTTTCTGGTACCAGGAATTGAACTCACGACCTTGCGCTTGCCAGGCAGGCACTGTGCCGCTGAGCTAAATCCCCAGACCCGAGAAAGACTCCAAAAGATATTTCTAATGCATTTTCAGGATGGAACCTCAAAGACTTTAGATTTCCTAAGGTAACAGCAATAAGCTACAGAATCATACTGATTAAATTTCATTTAGAAAGGTGTTGAGCTGGACATAGTGGTGCACACTTGTAATCCCAGCACTCTGAGAGGCTCAAGCAAGAAGATCATCAGTTTAGTTCGAGCCTGGGTAATTTAGGGAGTTAGCAAGACCTTGTAGCCAAGGATTTAGCTCAGCGGCCCAGCACCTGCCTAGCAAGACCTTGTCACAATATAAAAAGGGCAAGGATGTAGCTCAGTGCAAAGACTGGGTTTAATTCCCAGTACCACCAAGAAAAAAAAAAAGTTGAACACTTATACTATGTAAGCTTCACATTTAGCTTTAATTTATATTTTTAATCTTGATTTTAATTAATAAATATCTTTAACCCAGGAATTGGTTATTTTTTTACTTATCTGGCACACTTAGAAAGAAAGGATAAGGTTTATTGCAACAGTTGAAAATTACAGAAGCCTTTTCAAAATACTTAATAGCAATAGTACTAAAGGTCACAGTATGATTTTCATTCTGTGAAAGTGGTATTTTTTATTTTCTAAAATGAAATATAAAATTGTCTGGTCTTGGGCCAGGGATATAGCTCAGTGGCCCAAGTGCCTGCCTGGCAAGCCTAAGGTCCTGAGTTCAATTCCCGGTACCAAAAAAAAGAAAAGAACATTGTCTGGCCTTAGAGTAGCAAACACATAATGTTTTTTGCCTAGACTGAATAGATGGATAAATACATGATGCACAGATAGAAAAATCAAAGTTAGTCTTACTCAAATATGTTAGTATAATATAAAAGTCAAAAATTACTCCATTCTTTATACCATACACCAATATAAAGTGCAAGTGAATCAGAAAAATGAATCCTTGCACATAAAGGAAAAAGGCATGGGTGATCCCTCCATATCCTGGAAATGGGAAAAATATTTCCCAACTAACCCAAAATCCAAAAGCAATCAGGAAAACTATTGATAAATATGATTGCACAAATTAAAAGGAAAACTTTGGAGGTAAAAACTGAGCAATTGAGGCATGGCAGCACATACATGTAATTCCACCATTTGGGGAGGCTGAGGCAGGAAGATCGAAAGTTCTAGCCTAGCCTAGGCAACTGTTACAAAGACCTGGTCTCAGAATAAAAAAGGAGGCTGTTAGCCTATAGCTCAGTATGAAGGCTTTGGGTACCTCAATCCCTAGTACCACAGCAAAACAAAACTAAACTGACTATCTTCCTGCTTGAGCCTCTCAGAGTGCTGGGATTACAAGTGTGCACCGCTGTGTCCAACTCAACACCTTTCTAAATGAAAATGAATCAGGCCTCAATCCCCAGTACCTCAACAAAATGAAGCAAAACTGAACACAATAAAATGATACATTGGAAAACACATTGCAACTTTTATCATCCCTAATATATAAAGAGTTCTGGAAAGAGAAAAGACCAACAACTCTGTAGAAAAATGAACTAAAGATCTAAAAATACAGTATCGTCACAAAAATAAACACAAATAGACCTTGAAAGTATGAAAAGATTTGTAATGATGACAGAACTATTCCTTTTAATTTTCGTGTCACAAATGACTAAATTTGTCTTTAGGTAGCAATAATAGCAGACAGTTTCAAAGGATCATCATTGACAGGTTTACAATGCCAAGTGAAGGTATTTTGGGTATATTTCTCTCTGGTTAGGTTAAAAAAAACACTTTTGTAAAACAGTGTTAAAATAATCTGAGTACTAGTGGTTTTTTTCCCAACAAGATAGTTGAAACAACAGTTTAAAAATAAGGAAAAAAGCTTGTCATAATATGAGAAATTCCAATTAAAATTATGTTGAGATAGCATTGCTCACCTGGCAAAAATCCAAAAGTTTGGCAACATTTTCTCTTGATTGGACTATAAGTAAATTGAGCTCTTATATATTGTTACAGTTTCTCTCTAAAAGTTGTCATAATCTGTCTTTTGGTTGTAACCATCCTAGTAGGGGTGAAGTGATGCATCAGTATAGTTATAATTGTGTTTGCCTTTCAAGTGATGTCAAGCATCCTTTCATATGGCTTACATTTGAGTAGGATTTTAATTTGTGTGCAATTATTGATATTATTGATAATTATATGAAATTGATCATATTTAGTCTTCATAGTTCTGCACTGTAGATGATTTATACATGAGAGTCAGGGAAAGGAAGTGATTACCTATAAAATGGGATTAGAGAAGGGGATAGATGAAGGTCAGTATAGGAGCCTCTTGGAATAACCCAGCATGACTGATTATGGCCTGCACTGTAGTGAGAAAGCAGGGGATGGGACATAGAAGGTATACCGGGAAAGATTTTTAAGAAAGAAACAACCCAGCTAGCTATAGATTGAACATAGGAGTACAAACCAGGAAGTGTGCAAGAGAGCCTAGCATAATGGTGTAAGAACATTCATCTGAAATGGCATCTGTACCTTTGGAAAACAGTTTGATCTTGGACAAATCATTCAACATGTCTGGACCCTCGTTGCTATATTTATAAAAAGAATTATCTGGGCATGGTGGCACACACCTGTAATCCCAGCACTTGGCAGGCTGAGGTAAGAGGATTGTTGTGAGTTCGAGGCCAGCCTGCACTACATAAGTGAATTGAAGGTCAGCCTGAACTGCATAGTGAGACCTTGTCTCTCAAAAAGACAGGAAAAAAAAAAAAAAAGAATTAGGTATAATAGTAAAGTAAAAATAATGTACTTCAGAGTCAGACAGACTTAAAATTTAGTCACAGCCGCCTTATGTTAAACTTTGGGGATTTCAGGTTTCTGACATGTAGAGATGGTTGTTTGTGAAGAGTTGGGAGAATTATTTGAGGTAATGTATGTAGAATGCCTTCTACATAGCCAAGTTGAACCAACTTCCTTTTTCAATCATGGTCCCTTCCAGCTTACAGTGGCCTAAAATTTTTGTGTTGAGATTTTTAGTGGCAGTAGAAATGCAGATTAGGGAGTCATTAATAAAGTATGCAGTTAAAGTCATAGGCT